TCCCTTCATTTTGTTTTTCACCTTCCAGCCTTCAGCTGATCAAGAGAGGCGCCAGTGACTAGCTACACATTCCCTTTTTGGTTTCCCTTTGAAAGGCCATGTCATGCCAGACATTCCTGCCACAGATTTATTGCACTTGTAAATATTGCACAAAACCTCCCAAGGGGGAGGGTGGGGGAAAGCCCTGAGGCCTCCTCCCCAGGATGCTTGCAGGGAGCAATGTTGCATCTGCCCTGTTTAGCCTCTTTACCTATGGCTTGAAGCAGGGTTCAGCAACCTGTGGCCCATGGAGCAACTGGATTCAGTCCATGGACATGGGACTTCATCTGTAGGTGCTCTCCTTATGCTATCATGGAGACAAACAGTGGCAGTAGAAGAAACCTGTGCATCCCCACATTGGACCCAGGGTGGTTTGCTTACACCTGCCGTACAGAGTTCAGCGGGCCACAATCTTACCTCTTCCTTACTCATTGCACTTTCTGACAGCTCCAGCCTCCAGGTAGGGCGGGAAGAGAAGAGGGGAAGTGGAGAGATCCCCTCCAAGATAATGAAGGGTTGCCTGGCAAAACTTTCTGCCAAGTCCCCTGAGCGTGATTTGAGACTGGCTGTTTGGCAGGGAACTGCCGTCTCCTGTTTTCCAAAGGATTTGCAGGCTAATTCCCCACCTTCCTGAGCATCTGCTGCAGTAACCGGCTCCTCATTCACTGTGAATTCTGGGGTTTCACACTTGTTTATTTAGCCATGCTTCGCTCCCTACACACACTTACACCCCATTAACCCCCTTTCCCATTCCCCTTCTCTTTATTCACCTGTTACAACTCTGCTAAATCCTAGAGGCTTTGTAAAGGCATGAGAGTTCATTCAGGCTAATCATCAGTTGCAGGATGTTAGAGCCTAAATTTGGCTGGTGTATGTGGGCAAAGATCCATGGGGCATGGCAGCCGTATCCCCTCCGATTCTGGTGAAGCTTTCCCTTCTTTTCCTCTCTGCAGCTTAATGTTTGCAGTGAAAAGCTGAACAGTTTGTAAAATCTTTGGTGTTTTGTTCTGTGATTTTTTTTTTTTTTTCCGCCCCATGGATTCTGCCAATATTTTTGCCAAGAATTTGCTACTTTCGCAGGAATTTTTGTTTGCACTTAGAAGCAGGCCTAGTGCTGAGCAACAGAGGCTGTATATGGCAAGTGTGAGCACATTTAAACTTCCCACATTTTCAGTGTGAAAAAATACATTGAGCTGAATCAGGGGTGGGATTGATACGGAGCGAGTGCCTGGCTGCCTGAAGGAGAGGGTAAAAATGCCATGCGACATTTTTTTTTTTTTTTTACAAAACTGACAGTTCTGCCAGCTCTTCCTTGTTCCTCCCAAAATGTTCCTAAACAGTGCTGTCCTTGAGGGCTTGTCTATGATCACCAGTTAGATTGTTTTAAAGATGCTGGTATAGTGGAAGTGGTACAGCACCCATAGTGAGTTTTATCAGTACAATGGGAGGCTGAGTAAGTTATATGGCTGTACGATCTATATACCGGCATCGTGTTCATACCTGGGGCTATATCAGTGACACCATTGTAGTCCAAGCCAAATAGCTGTTACTCTTACAAGGCTGGGCTCTGGGCTTATTCTTCTGACCTAGATGAGTATGGCAATCTGGGACTGCTAAAATCACTATTATTAGGCATGTTTGCAGCTGAAACTCTTTCTACCACTGTCCCTTCCTTCTCTGTTCCCCTTGTCTTTATTCACCTGTTAGGATCAGGGCCAGATTCAGTCACTGACTGGAGTCTGTGGCCTTTAGCCCAAGGTTAGATCAGATGTTCCCCGTCTGAGTCCTTCAGCGCTGCTGCAGTTGGAGTAACCTGCAGTTTCACTGAGACCTGCAGATGTTCACTGCCTCTGAAAAATCAGGTCCTGTAACTTTAATTTCATAGGTGAAACTGTACATCTGTGTCCTGCCCTTTCTGGCTTCTCAAAAGAGAGCAGTGTCCATGCACAGTGATAAGGGTGAAAAGTGAATCCAGCCCAGCCTGTCCTATTTCCGCCCCTGAGATTAAAGACGGTCACTCTCTGCTCTAATCTGATCTTCCTCTCCTTCACAGGCAGCCGAACTGGGGATGGCATCAGCCTATTACACATATATCTTCACTAACCTGGTAAGACATTTCCTCAGCTCCTCTCCCGTGCATATAGAGTCCCGCTAATGACAACTGATCTGCTCGCCCCATGGGAGTCTGGGTTGTGTCTGGTAGAGACATGTGCAAGAGGGAGTGGAAAAGCATTGATGAGCCAGAGGCATTTGGGGGTCTCCGAGAATCCAGGCTTTGGCCGAGAGAGAAATTAGCCCTGCCCTCCGTGTGATGAAAGCAGATTCATTCACCAGTGATGCCCTGTGGAATGGTAAAATGGCAGAGCCAGTCAACACCAGTGCTAAACGGGCGCTCCTGCCCTGTAAATTGAAGGGTGTGGACCTTGGACAAGAGAGAGTTGTGCTTCAGCTGCAAGTCCATCCTTTCTCCTCTTCTACTGAGAGCAGTGGGGGTGAGAGGGGTTGCTATAAGTCAGGGGTGGGCAAAATACAGCCTGGGGCCCAGATCTGGCCCACCAGGCCATTCTATCTGGCCCACAGGGCCCCTAAAAAATTAGAAAATTAATATTTATTTGCTCCTAGCTGCCTGTCAAAGATGACAGGAGCCAGGGGCAGTAGGACCCAGAGGAAGCTAGTGGCAGAACCCAGCAGCAAGGTCTGCCTAGCAGAGGCTTCTGGCCTGGGACCATGGGGCTGTTCCTGCTTCCCTGTGACAGAAAGGGAAATGCGGCCCTCAACAGTTTGCCAAAACTTGGCAAGCAAACCTTCGCCCAAAATAATTGCCTGCCCCTGCTATAAGTGGTACTGTCTTCAGCCCATCATTTCCAGCTTATGCCCGGCGCTGAGGGCCTGATCTGGAGCTCACTGAATGCAAGTCTTTGCATTGATTTCAGTGGGCTTTGGAGGATGCAGCAGCAGACAATTCTGCAACCCCTACTTAACCTATAACCCACTTACTTACCTGAGTAAAGTTTGATCTTACTAGTAGAAGTTTTGGGACTGAGCCCTGGTCAGCTAGAGACACCTGAAGCATAAACCCAGGACAGAGAGTTAAATCATCCTTTTAAGGACCTTTCCTTTGTCCCCTCTGGGTTTCTCAAGTACAGAAGACGAAACATGAGAAGACAGCATGTCTAACCCTACCTCTCCCCTCCCTTTAAAAGTTTTTCCTGGTGGGGACACTCTCTTTAAGGCACTGGGCCAGCTGCCCAGCTGGCAATAACCCACACAGATCCAGAGAGCTAAGACCATTTACATCAGCTGAGCTATAGCTGGGAGAAAGGGAACTGGTGCAGTGGTGGCAGCGTATGGACAGGGCAAGCCATGACATGAGTCTTAGTGAGGGGCTGAGTGCACGTGTAAGGCAACTCAAGGGTGATTGCATACCTGTGACAGGCAGGGAGAGGCATGTTTTTCAATGCAGCTTGTGGCAATTTAGCTTTACAGCTCCTAAGAACATTAATGGGAGATCATGCAGTTAAATCCCCATGCACTGCGCTAAACGAGAAGTAATGGGCTTAGGTAGCAGCAGGGAAGCCCAGAGTAAACATTAGGGAAACTTTCAAGCTAAAGGAGCTGCAAGGCCCTAAAACAATCTGCCACACGGGCTGGGGAAATTGCTATCCCCAGCAATAGTTCACTTGAGACTATCTATTAAGGATGGGGCAGGAGTAATGAAATCTGTCATTTCTTAGTGCAGGGGGATGGAGGAAATGATGAACCAGAGGCGCCTTTCAACCCAAATGATACTTTGATTCTCTAATGTCTATTAATATTTATGCCCGTGCGGGCGTGTGCCAGGAAAGCCGAGAGCTGCAGCGGGCGGCGTGTCTGTGTGTGTTTGGGTGGGAGATAGACAGAAACAGATGGAGCCAAGTGTGCAGGGAGGGTAACCCACACGGAGGAGCAGGCAACACCATGGAGAGCCAGTGGGAAGTGACACAAGGAGATGGCTTGTGAAAGGAGTCACCAGAGAGAGAAATGCTGTGCTCAGGCTTTCAGATAGCCTTCCAATTCCTTCTCGGAGCAAAATCCATAGGTCCTAACCCTAGTCAGTGCCATCCACTGAGGAATAGGCCATTCAGTCCTAGTCCTAGTTAAATCAATACAGATGATTGGCAACTCAATGAATAGTAAAGAAATACCTTATGTTGAGGAGCTGAGCAGTGACATAAACCTTGAAAGCTAAGTTTAAGCCAGTAGGACCCCAAAAGGTAGGGTTACCTTTTTCAGGTGGTATTTGTTGCTTCATGGCTATTAGCCCAAAGGCTTCATTGTTCTAGTCCGAATATTATTATTGGTAGTATTATTAATAATCATAACAGTAATGATCAAGATGATGATAATAGTAATGATGATGAGCATGATGATAATAATGATTAGGGTTTCATTCCTAGCTCTTCCACTGACTTTATACATGAACTAAGTACCAATAAGCGGCTCCTTGCCTCAATTTTTCCAACCTGTAAAAATGGAGAGAGCAATTCCCATCTCACAGGGGACAACATCAGGTTCAGGTCGTCAGCCTTTCTAAAGCACCTCGAGGTACTCTGTGAGAAATGCAGCATAATACTATGAGATCCATAGTTCTGAAGGTAAACCCCAACCCACAGCCATGTGTATTTGTCGGTGCATTGGCACACGGCATACTGTGTACAGTATTCTCAGGAGTGAAGCGTTTTAAACCCAAAACATGCTACATCCCGTTTATCTCTCACATGACACGCAAACTCTGGAGCAAAAACTACTGAGCCTGTTCATTTTCATCTAGCACGGGGTGGAGGGGGGTGACCGGGGGTTGTAAGTGCTCCCACAAATCAAATTATGAAAGATTTGAGCCTGGGACGATGGGACCCTGGGCCATGACCGGAGCAATGAATCGTGTCTCTGAATTTGGACACGGGCACGTTCAGAATTTGAGTTGAGATCAGAATCTGAAATTTGCAATTCAAGCCCATTCTTCTAATCTGGTTATGCATGACTTTAAGGTGAGGTTAGAGAGGAATGAATCCTAGGGCCATTCATTCTCCCTGGAAATTAATCACAAAGGGCATCTATTTATTCCAGTTTATTTTACCACTTTGCAAAAGACCAGTTCTCTAAAGAGCTAACTGGAGTTTTGACAGGGATCATTAAGAAGAAAGGTGACACTGGGCGAAACCTGGGCAGATGGAAGAGATATTTAAGGAAATTAGTAATATTTAAATGGGGATGAGAGATGGGAGTGAGCAATTTAAACTAATAAATCTGGAGGGATTATCAAGCTGCTAATGAACCCTCTGAGGTTTTGCAATCACTGCCTAATAGGAAAGATAAAATCATTGTGAACTGCTGTCTGGGAGAGCAGGCAGAAAGATGGTTTAAATGGAGGCAGACCTTGTTGAAAGAGAATAGACATTATGGATAGTTAAAGGCACGGATATTAAATATGTGGGAGATGGCAAAAATAATCAAACCTAAGAGAAGGGAAGGGAGGTTAAAAAGCTGAGTTGCACGCATGCCGAGGCACTGGAGGGCATCTCTGTTTATACCTCCTGGCATTAAGCTCATTACAGCCATTGTAATAAGAGCACGCTAGATAATGGCTAGTTAGGCACCATGACTTCCTGGCTTTCTCTCACAGCTGTGGGAGTGGGGATGCTGGGTGCCACATGGAAAGATCAGTGAGTCACAGACCTTAAATGTTACTTATGAGTCAGTGCAGCAGGGAGGAAGGATGGCTTGGGGAAACAGATGCCAAGCTTTAGCAAAGGCTCCAAGAGCAAATGAAGGACCTCTCAGCTCTCGATGCATGTGCACAGAGGCTGAGACCGAGAGGCAAGGACTTGGGTGGAAACACCCACAAGATGATTCACAGGTCACTGGCAGTTTATATACCTTTCTCCACCTGTGACAGGACCAGCTCCCCTTGTGTTGTCATGAGGGGCTGGGCCAGCTCCTCCCCATGGCTATCCAGAATCTAGAATGACTCCAAGAAGGGGCATTTGTGTGCAATGCTTTCCATCCCCGAAACTCAGAGGAGAGAGTGGTGTTATCCTTGAATGCTGGATGAGGAAACTGAGGCTCAGACTGGGGAGGCGACTTGCCACAGGCCACACAGTGCTTGAGATGACAGTGCTGGGACAGAACTGCTCCATCAGTGTTAAGGTCCTCCTACAAAGTACTCCTTAGTTAATTAAACTGGGGACAGTCTACAAGGTGTCGTATGTTGGTTGGTCTATAGTTGGTAGAGTAGGGTCGGAAAGGACCTGAGCAGATCATCAAGTCTGACCTCCTGCCATGGGCAGGAAAGGATGCTGGGGTCAAATGACCCCGGCTAGGTGATTATCTAGCCTCCTTTTGAAGACGCCCAGGGTAGGAGTGAGGATCACTTCTCTTGCGAGTTGGTTCCAGATCCTAGCCGCCCTGACTGAAGTAATGCCTCCTGATGTCTAGTCTAAACTTACTCTTGGTCAACTTGTGGCCGTTATTCCTTGTTACTCCTGGGAGTGCTTGGGAGAACAGGGACTCTCCCATTCCCCGCTGGTCCCCCTTGGCAAGTTTATAGCTGGCCACCAGATCCCCTCTCAGCCTTCTCTTGTGGAGGCTGAACAGGTTCAGGTCCCGTCGCCTCTCATTGTAGGGTCTGCCCTGCTGTCCCCTGATCATGCAAGTGGCGTCCTCTGGACCCTCTCCATGCTGTCCACATCCCTCCTGAAGTGCGGCACCCAGAACTGGACGCGGTACTCCAACTGCGGCCTGACCAGTGTCGCATAGAGGGAGGGGATCACCTCCTTGGACCTGCTCATGATGCATCTGTGGATGCATGTCAAGGTGTGGTTAGCCTTCCTGACCATGTCCTCACATTGGCTCATGTTCATCTTGGAATCAATAATGACTCCAAGATCCCTTTCTGCCTCTGTGCTGACGAGAAGGGAGATTTTCTCCATCCACCCTAGAGGTGGCTGCATTTCCTCTGTATGTGTCCGCGTATAGATTTTGCTGAATAGTTTGGTTTTTACTTTGTGGTGAAAAGGACCCATGTCATGGTAACACCAGGAGAAGGACATGGAGTGGGATTAAAGCCCC